AAAAAAAAGTGTCACACATGGGATTACGTATGTAAACGAGTTTTTTGGTAGTGAGAGGGTGATAAAAATCTTCTCCAAAGGTGCCTGATGAAAAACCTTACTCCAATCTGACCGAAATTTTGGTACATAATTCCTTATATAGGTGTGTATTGCCATGTACTAAGCAGAGTTTTAATATTCTGTATTCCGAGAATGAAATCTTAAAATATTCATAGAAACTGACGAGCTTTTATCTTCCTTTTTTTCAGTAAGGAATACTAAAAATGGCTGGGTTTACGGCAAATAATATTTAATATTCTAGCACGTCATTGATTTATCGTTAGGAAGAACTGTGTCGTATCCATTTGGTTAAAATAAGCTAAAAAATTCAAGAATTTTTGTCAAACAGTTCCATTGAAAATTGGTGTATTCCACTTCGATACAATTCCGTAGCATTATCGTTACGGTATGCACACTTGATCATTTGTTGAACGGTATGCTATTGAAATTCGTTTCGAAACGATTTTCCAGCTCCACGGGTTATAAATTTATATTAATGTTGAAAGGTGAAACAAAAATTTATGGAGCTCGGAATTTTGATGCAAAAGCAAGCAAGCGCTCACCTAAAATTCTGGGTGTAAAAAAGTATACTTGCATATTTTATGATGTTGAGTTTTAGAAAAAATTGTTCTATAGAACATTCTGTGGAGCACATAATAGTGTTATCTGTATACTTGTTCAAAAATTATTTCACTTCCAGGAGATTCCAGGAGGCCGCTTTCGTCTTGGCTTTTTAATTTTGAAATGGAAAAACTGCGAAAGCTTCGACCGTAAAGATGAACCTCAAAACAATCCTCACTCTCGTTGGCCAGCCCTTAAAAAAGTCGATGAAATTTTTTAAAAAAGTCGAAGGAGGCTCACACATTTCTTCCCTTGACAGCATTACGGAATCAAACGTCAAATATAAAACAGTTTTAAACACATAAAAGATTTAGATTATACATGTATACTGAATATTTTTACTAAAACGTTTTAAATTCTAAACATATTTTCGACAAAAAATTATACGAACTCCATACAAGCACATAACAAAAATATAAGGATAAAAAAAAGCACGAGAAGCCGTAAGTTTCTCGAATTTCCAACATTTTTGGCTCATTGTTCTAAATAACGGAAGTGTTTTGGCTCTCCGCAGTATCCAAGGATTTTCTGAAAAGTTTTTGGGTGTAAAAAACATCTCGTTGTAAAATGACTGATGAAACTTCAACCTTTGAATTTAAATGCGAAGTTGTCAAACGTATTCCGTCACGAATTGCGATCCCACCGACAATCATCTGCTCGTGCGAACAAACAAATACTCGAACTGTAAGCGAGTAACAGTTAGAGAACAAGATGAAGAAGAACAAACGAACACACAATACAAAGGAATTTAGACAAAAGTCGAGAAACCGGGGTAAAAGAGTGGAAAGAGTGGGATGAATGTAGAAAAAGGAGGAGAGAGAAATGGAGCACACATAGTCACGGATTAGCTAAGTAACGTTTCTGCTGTTGCTGTCTCCGGCAAACTCTTGGCTCTCCTGAATTTTGAAACTCAAATATTTTGTTTCGCAAGAGGATCTTGATGGAAAATTGTACTCCTCTATTACTCATTTTGTTTTAACAAAGTGTGTCCATATACCCTCACATAAAGTTACAACCGTTTTTGTACACAATTGAAAAATTTCAATACTATTGACATAACACTCAATGTAACCTGCTTGCCACTAAGGCTCATGTAAAAGATAAGGGTACCTAGAGAAGGAAGTGAACAAAGTACGTAGGTTTAAAAAAAAAAAAGCGAAATTTAGAACCAAAATTTGTGACCCAATATGGTGAGAAATGCTCGTATAGTAACTATTTGGTGATGCATGGGAAAAGAACATTAAAATATAGTACTATTCTTTGTATAGTATTGTTGCATTAGATGTCACTTATCAAAGATGTCTCACCTGTTCCCACCTGCCCACGAACCTTCACTCTCTTTTTTCCTCTCCGCATCCACTCAGGAACGTGTTGAAGCACAATCCCTTGCACATCGAATGAAAAAAGCCACTCGGGGTTCGTTTAACGTTTAGATAAAGTACCGCAGAATGATACTCTGCTAACCGAAGCTGCTCAAGTTTTTGAGATTTCCAGCGAGTCTGTGGTCCCGAGAGGATGTCGATGGTGCCTTTTCTCGGACGAAGATCACGTGGAGAGTACTGGTATGTGCAAGCTGGGTCAGTTCTTTAGCTCCTCCCTCCCTCGCCCTTTGCTGCCACTCGTGTTCCAATCCCCACCGCGTTATATTTATGTGGTAGTGCGGTTACTCTCGAACTGTAAATTTTGCCAAATGTACGCGTAAATATGGTGTGCCTTCATCAAGTTCGGGTGAGTACATGTACTTGTATAACGCTTACCTGCCGAATTTCCTTTCCTCGGTACATGTGCACTCTGACCCAATTGCGAATAATTTATCGGCTCCGCGTACCTACCTCTATTCCACTACATGTGTTTTTTTTTTTTTTTTTAACTTTTCCGCTTTGCAGCTGCGCCGAGAGCTAGGTGGAGAAAGAGAGGGAGCAAGACCCAGCTGTACGGGAATAAAGAAAAACAGCGACAGAGCGAATAAGGCGAAAACACAGAGCGGCAGTACCTATATAGCCGGCTGTCGTAATTTTACCCCGGAAGTAAATAAAATTATCGAGTTTGTACAACAGTATTGCGCCGTTCGTGCACGTAACTAAGCTGGGGCTGTGGGACTCTGGGAGCAACATGGTTTTCCCTCGTCGGCCAAACAGGGTTAACGAGGAAAATTGAAAAGTGGGAGTGCGGTGCCTATACACTTTGCTCGGAGGGCTCACAAAAATGGGATAACTCGATTTTTAATCGTCACGAGAATGTAGCGCGTAAAGCGTTGGGTGCTATTTTTTTTTTTTTTTTTTTTTTTTCTATCGATACTTTTTTGGCTCTTTTCGTGATTACGTCGCATTTTGTAACTTATATGTGTCTGTTTGTGCAGGTTTGTTGATGTGCGTTAGTTGGATCTTACGACTTTGTCTATATAGATGTCGTTGTGTGTTTACATTTTTTTGTTTAAAATAAATTGTCTTGTTTTTTACAAGAAAATTTTTTGGCTTTTTCAATTCATTCCATCCAAGAAACTTCTTTTACAATCAAACCTTAAGGGTATTTACTATACCTATTAGTGTACCAACTGGAATTCATACCTAACCAATTACCTCTTTTGTAAGTTGTAGTTAATTACCAATGTTATAAGCTCGAGGAGGAAATAAATTTTAAGAAATAACACATCCAAAAACAAGGTTGTTAGATTTTAGTAGAAAGTGAAAAAAATTTTTTTCTTGAATTCGAATGTTTGAGATATTTTACCTACGCATCTTAAGCTTTTAGTTCATATGAGTGGATCAGGAGAAAAAACTATTTTTTACTATTTAAATCAATTAATAAGAGCTTATTTTTTTTCAAATATTAAAACATTTTTTTTTAATTTGATATTTCTTGGTGTATTATAAACCTTGTTAAAGCACTAAACTTTTCTTTTAGTTTTCGTCGCTTGATAAAATTTTTTAATTGTTATTGTAAAACCCCTTAAAAGATATTAATGTACAGTAGTCAGTGTAGTAAAATTTTCTGCTGGAATACTAAATGAAGTAGAAAAATGTTTCTCAACAAAATATTGCTAAGTAAGTAAATCAATAAATTAAAATGTACCAGAGAGATTTCAAACATAAGCTCTTTATAAACCTATTTTTCTCAGACGAGTAGTCCAATTGTACAGTTGAGTAAGGCACAACTGAAAAAATTTATAATTTTAATACACCTGGTATTTTATATTTTGTGGTTCAACTAACCCCTTAACGGTATCGGAAAAATCAATAACCATTGAATTAAAGCATAACGAATATTACCAGCAACAACTCTACCTCGCATGCTCAAACCAAATCACACTTTTCTATCTCATTCAAATTCTGAATTTCAATTCAAATGAACTACAAAATTTATTCCCTTCAATATGCAAGATCCAACGCAGCGATGTTAATCACGACGGTACGCTTTTTTTCCATACGTACGTCATCCCTTAATATTTCATCCAGTGTCTCTCCTGCGTACGCGTTACCTCGTCAGGAAAAATTTCAGATGAAAAAAAGGAAAAAAAAATTCTCCAGCATCGAAACGAAAGCAAATAAAAAGAAAACGCTGGTGAAATTCAGTGCGAGTAGCGAACTGCACAACTTTGGCTTTTGCTACTTCTCCAGCATCGTTGTCATCCCATGTGCAGTACAGCTGTAGATACAAAAGCTGCACGATTGCAAGAGAAAAATCAGTGAGAAGTATTATTGGAAAACACCGATAGCCCAAGCCGTAGTGAAAGAGAAAAAAAAAAAAAAAAAGACGAGAAAAGAATGTTCCGCACACCCGGTACACCTGCCTATCGTACACAGTGGAGCCACTCTTCCTATGAATCTGCGATGGTGTCTTTTTTCATGCACGAAAACGTGTGAACTGTGCACATACATACATATATATTTATACATTATATGGAAAACCGATACGCGTGAAACCGTTCTTCAGTTGTTCTTGGATATTGTAGTTTTGGGTTGCTCAACTATACACACGGAATGAAAATCGACTAAAACGCCTGTGTGTATCGTACTGATGGAGTTTGGCTAAAATTTCCAATAAAAATAATAACTGCGCTCCATTTTTTGGCCCCTCGATGATACATTTTTCGATTTTTCCTCTGAAACTTCATATTATCGTGAAACTCGGTTAAATTAGCACAGGAAAATAAATTTTTTAATCTTTTTTTCTTCAACTGTTCGAATACAAAAATGAAATTTAAAAAACCATTTTTTGGAACATATTTGAAAAAAAATATCGCTTTATTTCTACTTCCAACTTTTGATGTTTGACAAAAAAAAATTGAATATCCGTCACCAGAACGAACTATCTATCCAATTCCGTTTTATTTCTTCCAGGAAGCCAAGCGAAGCAGGATACAAGTGCCAATAGCGTTGGGAACGACGATGAAAAACCGTACAAGCCAGAACAAGAGTTCCGCGGACTGATCAAGGATGTCCTGGCGCAGAAGGGAGGCACCGCGACTCTGCCGTGCAAAATCGATCCTGGATCCGGAATCGTGAGTAATTTTTTTACAAAACGCAAAAACAAAAATTTTTAACTTTGGTAATTTTGTTTTCTTTTTTCTCTCCATCAAACTGTACTTTTATTTTCACGAACACGTGATGACTTGGTCAGAGCGATTTTCGCAAATTACTAGTTAGAAACGAGTACAAGCCATTATCGCGCACCTATGATTCTGGCATCGATTAAACAAACTTCGCAGCCATTACACGTAGTTTGGCGCGAGATTACCATTTTCTCGAGGAAAAAAAAAAAAAAAAAAAATATCGAATCTCTACTATTCTTGAAACACATTTGAATGATAATAAGACACACCGTCGCAGAAACCTGGGTTTTTGTTTTTTTTCGAAAAATCGTTATTAAAACAGCACCACCAAGACCTGTACAAACAAAAATGGAGGGAAGGAGCGCTAAAGATGAAAATATTCATGCAAACGACGAAAAGCAGCTCCATGAATAATTTCCCCCCCCCCCCTTTAAAGTACACGCCATCTGCATCTGCAGCCGGCGGTGTTGTTGTTATTATGATGAAATAATAATAGAGTTGACTCCTAAGCAACGCGTTCTTAGACCGTTTTTCCCCTTACCCAACTCGCGAAAGCAAACTGGGTCAACGGATGTTTGCCCCGTACACTCGCAAGTAACCCGGCTTGATTATGACTTTGGCTCTGTATCCCCCTCCGCGTAGTATCTCCCGGCTCGTTACGATCATATCGCGTTACGTCGCGTTCACACTTCCCCGAGCTCATTGCAACGTACCTTATCTTCAATAGCGCCAAGTTCAAGCGGTACCTTGGCGAACTTTGTTTCCGCTGTTTCGCTCCACCCCCGCTGTTTTGCTACTTCCCTCGTTAAACGCAGCAGATTAAACGAAAACAATTCTTCAAACAAAGAATTTTCGGTAAATGCCGATAAATGAATTACAGTACAGCGCGTGATGAAACAGCCATACTTGCGTATATCTTTGTCATGTCAACGAGAGACAACGCTTGAGACGTCTGCATAACTTTGACCTTTCGTTTTTTTCTCGGGAGTTTCTTACTTGGCTATTGATTAAGAAAACGTACCGTCTGACCCAACGTTGACCCTTACTACTTTCCCCCGCCACATCACTCATCAATTATTACGCGAGGCTTACTTTTCCTCTTAAAATGGTTACATTGAGGTGGTACACTGTAATTGGAATCCCCTCGTGTTTACGCAACGCAATACACCCACTCGCACGGCAACTCGGTGCTCGAAATTAATAAGAACTACAAGGGATCTGTCCCTCCATTGATTAAATTTACACTCCCCTTTTCGTACGAAACTTTCGAAACATTAACAACATCTTTGCGAGTGTAAGCGTGAAAAGTCTCCCATCCACTTACGCGCGAGACAAACCCGTGTGGCGAGGCACTAAGCTAAAGACAACAATGACATGTAAGAGCACGTGTCGACGTTTGTAGTCGCATGGGGAGGCAAAATATAGAGAGCAGGTTTTCCGGAAAAATGGAATACAGCGGTGAATTTGCATGTCGTCGCGCGAGCTGTAAGCGGGAAATCAGTGATGGAAACGTTTCGCGGATTTAATCGAAAATTAGTCTCGCGTCATCTATTCATCATCTACTCTGGTGATGCAATAGTACCACCACCGCGAACAGAGACGAACTGTATTTGTTTTTTAAAACAATGCTTTCAAGAGTTTTCAAAGTTTTTACAATTTTTAACCGATCGTAATAAATTTGAAACAAGCATCTGAGCAAGTTTTGTTGTGATGTGTTTTCGAAACGATTGGCAATTTTGAAAAATACTATGAAAAAAGAGAAAAACTATACTTTGTCAAACAATCATGGTTGCATTTCTCTTTGGTAAAATAAACAATTAATGAAGGACGTTCATGCGATGTTAGTTAGGTTCGTCGCAAACATCTGTGCTTTGAGTAAATTCTGCTCCTCGCAGCTTGCTAGTTGGACTATTTATCTTTCGTATTTCTCTTCGAGCTCACTTCCAAATTGATTCGTGTTTTTTTTTTTTTTTTTTCTGATCCATGTTTTCGGGCAAAAGAGGTATGATGAAACATATGTTCTAAATTAATTAGTTATCGGATACGTATATATGTATGCATGAGCTTATAATGCTTGCGAATTAAAAATCTTAGATTTGGGCTATGAATTGCTTATTGTCAACAATTAACTTGGTTTCAATGTTAGAAATACCTTGAGTTGCTGGATTATTTTCTCCACTTATGTACGGTTCTACAAAAGTTTTTTGTTAATTTACATTAACTTATCAATTAAATTTATTAAAAATACGTACGAATGCTATTCGAACATTCAACTGATGAAAAAAATCGTATCCCTATATGTAATAATAACGTATAAGTCTCTAGGGATTATTTGTTTCACCAAAATAAAAATAATCTCTTGGTCGAACTTTATTTACAGCCTGAGAAATTTTAACGATTTTCACTAATGGATCTTAATATTTATCTAAGTCTATATTTTTCGATAGAAATCCATGAATAACTAATTTTCGATGGTAGATAATGTACAACGATAATAATACAGTAATTTCGTTCTAAAGTATTTGGATGGAAAAGAATTTAAGATATCAATACGCATATCAAAACACAATCAAAACACAGTCCACACAATGAGGCTTTTGTTCGCTTACTTTTTTAAAACCGCATTTTACACTGTATCAAACGCAACGTTCAATCATTGCAGAGATTATTCCAAAAACTAATGTCGGATCTTTAATAACGATTAACCCAACTTTTTCTCATTTGGCGAAGCGTGTGCTATGCTTTCCAAGTAATATACGACGACACGCGCGCTATAATAAAGAATAATAATGTGCGGTGCAACTCACGAGTTCAGTTCTATGAAAAAGAGCCTAAATCTTATGGAACATCCACGGAAGAGAAGCATCATCACTCTTACGATGACTACAACACGTATTAACAAGGTGCCTTCGTAATAAAACTATGCGTTGTAGGGGCCTTCGCGCAGTAGTAGGAGGAGGAGGTGGCTCAAGTTATACGGGGGGGATGAGGCAGAATAGTCGATGTACGGAAGCCAAATGCAAATTTACGAGTACTCCTTGCTCGGTACGGGGAAGTCGAGGCCCAAGTTTCTCTCGCTAGACCCGCAAGCTCTTTGACTCCTTGCGTCTTCCCCCAGCAATGCAAACAAATTGGCTCTGCGCGCGCGTACTTCGCTGCAGTTCTCGGACTTCCTCGCCAAGTTCGGCTGTAACTTAATCCGCTACTCCTCCCCCTCACGACCTTCGAGAGTTTCAACCGCTGTCGAACTGCGTGTGTATACTTCTTGTTTTCTCTAGCCACCGTTTTCCCTCCGTTTCTTCCTGGATCGAGGGATCACTTGGCGAAACGATGGCAAGCTTTAATCGCTATGTCAGCTATCAATTAACCTTCAATAAGTTTCTCTTTTTTCTTGTGCTGGCCAATTATGTGGTATATCTGCTAAATGAGAAAAATAAAGCTTTAGTTAACGAGTTTGTGTGTGAAAATTGCGAAAAAATTGGACTGCCAAAAAGAAAGCTTGAAGTAATTTTTTTTTTTTTTTTTTTTTTTTATTGTTATATCGAGAGGTACTCGTCATCAAAGATCAGACTATGGTTTTTTTTTTCTCGGTACACCAAAGAAAACAGTTATTCGTCCCTCTACCGTAAGCGAAACCCAATAAATATACATTTATCGAGCTCTTAGCCCCTTGCCTCTTCTATGCGAGACGTGCCGTAAAATCTCCGATCTCCGAGCAGCGTTGAAAAAGCTTTCCATCGCATATTTCGAGCCTTTAGTGCGAAAGAAATAACAATGTTTTTTCATCGCATATAGGCACAACTTATTACGCGTCATGCAATCGTAGTTTTAACAATATTTAATAGGTATACATAGTACAACAACATTATACGTATACGCGTATAGCTTTCGCGAGGATCATTTTTTCAACGATTGGCGTGTCGCTGATGCAAAATATCTGGAGTTTCTTTTTTTACTCAACGCTATATTATATCATACAAGTCAAGTGGATGGCGTGGCAGTATTTATTGGTGTGGCGCGATGACGCTCCTAACGGCCGGTTCAATCGTTCTCTACGTGAGTGCGCTATTTTGTTGATGGCCGTATATGCATTTATTACCTATACATATTTATGGTTACGGAAGAAAGAAAAAAAAAAGGCAATTTCTCGACTTATTTTTTTATTTGCAGAGTGGTTGTTGTCGTTGTTGTTGTTGTTGTTGTCGTTGTTGTTGTTGTTGTTGTTATTTGGATATTAGTGCGAGCTGTGCTTTTGCATAAATTATTGAGAAACGAGGGAAAATATGAATATACCTTTGTAACATTGCATATGGAAAAGGCGCGCTGTGTACGTGCGTTTCAATCGGTACAGTCGATTCGAAACAAAAACTGCTGACGAGGTGATGCCGGTGTCGGTGAGAATAATTTTTACCTCGAGGAAAATGCACCGAAGTTCATCATCTCTGCACCTCCTACGGGTTTTCTTACTACTCACTTTTATCCATACTCCTATACTTATATAATATATACTATATGCACTTTTCTATGACGTTCTTGAATGTGGCCCGCAATGGGAGTGCTAATTACTAATTACGATTTGCGAAATAACAATTATTGAACGTACGATTTTTAGGTGACGCGTGGGCTGAAAAATGAAAATGAAAAAAAAAAATGTTTTCTATTTTACATTTCCGTAAATTTAGTAACTTGATGTTATCCTTTAGAATTAGTTTAAAATTAAGATAATTTTTGTATGAAATTGTATGCGATGTTAACTAATCACGAATCATTTGAATGCTTTTTTCAACTTAAGATTAGAAAATTTTTCATCAACTACTATTGGTGTTATTGTAAAGGAAAAAAAAAAAAAAAAAAAA